TCCCTAGGAATACAAATACACAAAGGAATTACTTTTGATTCTCAGTTTATCTATTACCACTTAAGCCACTGGTCATTTATGAATTCAAGACTGGATCATATGAAATACTGAGATAAACAGGGATTGAGGGGGTCTTATCATCTTCACAGGAAGGGTTTCAAAACTCCCAGGTTTGGAACTTGGACTGGTATGAAAGCCACCAAAGTCAGTGGGAATCTTTCTGGTAGTTTCACTGGGCTCTGGATTGTGTCTCTGCAGCTGAGATACATGGGGAATCGATTGGGATAAGAGACTTTGCAGGCTGGGTAAGAGCAATTTTTCGCCCACTTACCCAGGCACTTTCAGCCTTCTCTCACTTCTACAACCTAGGCATGACCAATTCCAATTTCTCCCTTTTTTCTGTTATTATCATCATCATATTGCTGTGGGCAGGGTTCCCCTGAAACATCATCAAGTATTAACCAGTAAACTGAAGCATACAAGTTGCTCTATTCTGTAAAATGTTTATCATATGCTAAATGATCACTGCTGGACATTTCATCTAACTTATAGGAATGCTTAATAGTTCATCTGAATTCCTGTATTCTCATTGTTGTGTATGCAATAAGAGTGAATGCACATACCTGGACAAGTGGCATAAACAGAGGATATAATGCTTTTGAAGACAGCTCATTTGCATTCTTCTCCAGTTGCACTGTGAGTTGCTGAATCTTGATGCAAAAATACAAACTACAATGTACAATTATACAAAGATAGGGAACTGGTTAGAGCTAAGTCATTTTTCAAGATCAATAATTATTAGTATAGCATAGCATATGCAGACTATCAGAGGCAGATCCACAGAGGTGCAGTGGTGCAGCTGCACCCCTCTTTGATCCTGGTTCTACCCAAACTTTAAAACCAACTGCCTGGGAGGGACAGCAACATTTCTATTCAGGCAGTGCCAAGAGAGTCAACTGACTTCATGATTCATTATCATCTCCCTGATTCCTACTCATCTCTCTCCACTCCACAGGTATTAATGACCCTTTCTCCTTTTTAACAGTCTTGATGTTCCACTCTTCAAACTATCCTTTCTTCTACACTGTTACTGTCTGGTAATGTCTCTCTTCTATTTCACAGGCCTGCAAACCATTTTTAGCTGTAGCTAAAAACCTGAACTTAGGTGTATTAATACTAACTCAGGTGTGGAAATGACTGACAATGAAGTGTTGGATGCACTGTGAAGACAGTCATGAAGGCTAGATTTTGTTTTACAGATATGAAGAAGAGATGCACCTCATGTTCCAATTACTCCAGGACAAATAAAACAATATCCTTTGCCTATTTTTGCATTTTTTTAAATTAATATCAAGCAAATTGGTGCACATTCCAATAAAGTTACATTTGTTTTTGCTTTGATGTTAAACTAAACCATATAGCACTGGGCCCCTAGCATTCTAGTTTCTCTTTAACTGGAGAAAAATGTGTGTTATACATGTGATGATGAATCATACCACCTGTACCACCCGTTTCAAAATCCTCAATCTTCCCACGTACATTACTGTCCTTGTATTCCCTCGTTCATCCTACTAGCTTCTCTTCTACTAACTGCAGGGCTGCCAACAGTAGGAATTACCATAAGACTGCAAACTTAAGCATATATAATAAACCTGAAGTCAATGAAGTCCTAGCCCTAGCTGACCTACCCACTCTCATATTTTCATAAGGAAGTATTTTTCTTTGAATTTCCCTGTCTTGCCTCACAGCTACTTGGGTGGTAAGATACCTTGTGTGGAAGAACCCTGCCTAGCCCAATCCATTAATTCAGGCTAACTTGGAAAGTAAAAAAATCCTGTCACTTCAAAGATGCCACATGCTTTTAAGAGAGTTTTAATGTTACATTAAAATTCCTGTGAACCAAGTAGCACCAGCTAGGTGCATAGGAGGAGCAGGAATCTCTCTTTCTTAATTGAATTGGATTAGCTAAGGGCATGCCTATACCCAACAAGAAACGATGTTAATTAACTGGTCCAATTTGATTAAGAATGCATCTAAAGCTAAACACTAAGTGCCATAAAACAAAAAGCATGTCTAATTTCTAACTGGTTCCAAATACCCAGGGCTCGTCTTACTACCTTCTAATGTACAGATTCTGAGGTGTCAGCAACTCAGTTAAAGGTGATGTTGGAGGCTTAACTCTGAATTACCTCATGCTTGGAGCAATCCTGAGAGATGAACAATGTCCTCAAAACCTACTGACTGGACTGGAAGCTGAGGGTGCTCAGCACAAGAACATTTAAGCATGCATGTCAGGGGTTTCAATGTACCTTGTGCTTTGTGGCTTAGGATACCTGGCTGAATTTTGCTTTTGCTTGCACTATGATTTTGGCCACATAGCTGGTGGAGTTATTGGTGGAAGGCTTTTAGACTGTAGTCTGCTACCCTGTTGGACCAACAAGCCCATTATGGGAGTCTCCCTCTGATGCTGGGAAACCTTTTAGAGCTAAAGGATTGAATGATAAAGCACATAAGCTCCTTCTACATTCTGGGTCAGGGTCACTCTGAGTAGCTGCTGGCCTTTGTTAATAGAATCCTCTTATGCAGAGACCTCCATTGTGAAAGAAACTGCACTCTGCTGTTAAACCTTGGGAATACCAACTAGGCTTAAGAAGGCTAATTTTCCCTCCTAACTGCTAAGAAAAACATTGAGTAGAAAATTCACAATTATTACATTCAAAACAAAACGTAAGGGACATTGATGTTCTGAAGCTTTAGAGGCATTTGTTACCTCATTAGCACTGACATAAGAGAAGTAAAATCCTGTTTTGTCAGAGAAAGTAAAGGAAGCTCATATGCAATTCTGCAGGGAAGACTTCACCCTGTGTGGATACTGTAGCACTGGAGTTCTGCCACTGGTCTCAAGCAGCAGAAGAAACCCTGGCTCTGAAACCTTAGTTCTTCTGCCCCTCTGTTATCATTCTACTTCCACTAAACTTTAGTGATATTGGTCCCAATGTCAAATTCCAGCTCAATTCATTTTTTCTCCTGCAGCTTCTACCATTAAATATATTTACAACTTTCTGTTGTAAATGGTTCTATTATGTCGCTCCATGCTTTTAAGCAGTCCCGCCCCACAGAAGCCTGCATTTTCAAGTATACAAATTTTGTAAGGGACTTTGGAACAAACAGCATTTAGGATATTCATATATCTTTCAAAAGATGTTGTAAGTAATTCAGTTATCCATGAATGTACAAGCTCTGTCCAGTGCCATTTCATATTTATGTTATTTTTCACACACAGACACAAACACGTGTCCCTTACCGGTGACAAGTTGGCCTCCATGTCAGTCATATTCCAATCACTCACAGACAAATTTGGATTAAATACCTGTTGAAAAAAGATATGGGTGTTCCTGGCATAAGGTAAAGGTTCCTACATAGGCTTTAAGATGTATAGTCTGTTTTGAAGAGCTATCTGAAGGCACAGCAATTTAGAAGGGCAAAACTTTCAAAGGAGGCCTGCACCCAGCCATTCTCACTGTGACATTCAATTGAGTACCCAGAGTTCCTTAAAAAATCAGGCCATTCTTAACTATCTGGAGATACCTTCTGACTCACACCCAGTAAATCTGATGTTTAGTTATCCAGGGAGAGGAATTTAGTTATAGTATTAGCAGAAAAAATCATAATACAGAAAAAGAAGAACTGGATTCCATCATTAGAAAGTCAACAGCCATTCTCAGATCTGTAAGATTTGGCCCTGAAAAGGGCTAAACATGGAAGACAAGAAAATATAGCTGTTCTCTGTTGATCAATCACTCTTACTTATCCAAGTGTAACTGCCAGAAGCATAAATGAGAAACATTCTCTCTCTATAGGTATAATTTATTTGATTACTTGAATAAAACTGTGTGTGTGTGTGTGTGTGTGTGTGTGTGTGTGTGTGTGTGTGTGTGTGTGTGTGTGTGTGTGTGTGTGAGAGAGAGAATACAATATGGATGAAGCTCCATTGCCCATTTGTAGCTAAAATGTCCTGAGAATCCCTGATAGGGAATGACCCACGTAGTGACACGATATGACACCACTGGAACTTCTAAGAACTGGAGGAAAAGAGGAAGGCAAAAGAGCCCCAAACATAAGCCAACTGGATGAGGTGGGTCCACAAAGGATTCAGAATATGATAAGAAACCAATTAGCCAGCCAGCTGGACAACAGTATTGGAACTATTTTTATCTAATTGTGAGATTTTTAAGCTATTTTAGGTCTTACAACCTAGCCTTCCCACATGCACTGTGTTTAGTTATCCTGGTGGATACTATATACCCAAGACATAGAGAAACGTGAGTCTGAAACACTTAATGTGAAGAGTGCACTAAAAAAATGGTATCTGCATATCTGTAAATAGTTAATAGATTAGGAGCTAATACATAGCATTGTTCCATGGCTGGGCAAGACAAATTCTCTTATGCAACTTTTTATGCATGGCTCTTGGCACTCACATCCAGGATGCCAGCAGGCTCCAGATTGTACTGCTGGCTTCTCAGGAATAGTTGGAGGCCTTCCAAGCTCAAATCAGTGCCCTCCAGGGGGTCAGAAGTCTCTGCTCTGTGGAAAGATGAGAGGAAAATCAGTCCAAATTATGAAATAATTGAAAAAGTGAAAACACTTTTATATAGAAAATTTGACTTGGTAGCTTTCCAAAGTCAGATGTCCAACACTTATTTAGCAGGTTCGCAGGCCACTTTTAGCCCTGGCTTATGCCATCTTGTTCTGGATAAAGCCCAGGGGTAGGACTCGACAAGCCCCGTTAACTGTACCCATTAATAACCTGGCTTGGCATCTTTTTGTTTCATTTTAAAATGCGTTCTAGTGGGTACATCTACACATGTTCCCCATGGCACAGTTGTTACTGCACCATCATTTAGTACTTGCTTTAGGAAGTACTAAATGATGGCATACGGTTATTTTTAGCAGTTATGTCACCATAGCAACGTGCTATAGCAAGGTAGCTCATTACCATGATGACATAGCATTGGTGTCACAGTTTGTGCATGCTGATGCTATGTTGTCGTAGCACATCACTACAGTGACATAATGTCACATGTAGATGAGCCCAGTAAGTCACAGATACAGCGTAGAATGAAAACACGTAGACAAAGACAGAAACATCCTGTACAAACATCAGCCTCCCAGACATCACTTGGGCACTGAGTCTAGATTAGGGATCAACATCTATGGCCCAACTTTCTGGCCAGCAAAAAGATTGTATACAGCCTGTGAAGCTAGGAGAGCAGCAATGGGGGATCAGCAGTGGCATGGGGATCAGCAGCCTTAGGTAGCAGGGTGGGGAGGTGAGAACTGGCAGCATGTGGCAGCCTGCCTTAGACTGGGCTCCATTAATTAAGTCCATTGACCCCTGGGCTAGACCACTGGAATCACAGGCAACCATGTGACAAACATTGTTCAGGAATGGAAAAAGATTGGCATCTTTTTGTTTTAAAAGGTATTTTAATAATTCTTTATTTAGCAGTTTAAAGCTTGGTTATAAGTCATAGTCCATCATTTTTAATGAACTTTTTCATTTAAAGAATACAAGACCAATGCACAACTCTTTGTTCCCTTGCATAGAAGGCCTTCGTTTTAATAAAAGATGGGCAATAATTAAAACATTCAATCTGCTGGAAACTCGATGATACTCATTAACATTCTTCTGATGGCTCTCATAAAAAGAGGAGTCTCCTCTCTCTTTTCTTAAATAAACAAGGCAATTACACAACAAGCCATGGCAATAGACAGTGAAGTTCCTTCCTAACCACCATGGCATGTGATGGTCTCAAAAAGGATGTCCGGTGACCCTGGTTATCTCAGATTGCTGTGATCCTGCAAAGAAATGTAGACCCTTACTCCTGTTCAAAGTACCAATGCTTTCAGTGGGACTTCTGGCAGGAGCTACATGAGCTACAGGATCCCTAAGTGCAAAACCCTGTGCATGATGGAACTTATACAGCTACAGATGTTATCAGAAGACAAGATGTTACTCAGCCATCAGCCAGATAGCACAATGGCAAGGAAGGTCACAGCTGCTCTCCTCTCCTCACCTGTCCAGAGGTGCTCTTCTGCCTCTTTTTTCTGGTGGTTGTGAATTCGCAGACTGTGGTGCACCACAGCTCCCTTTGCCTTCTAGAACAGACTGAACCATTGCCACTGGTAACACCGGGGGTTCAGCACAGACACTGCAGCCACTCAGGGGGGCATCTGGCTCAGATGTGGCTTTCACTCCAGGACTAACCGGTTCTTCCTTTATCAGCATAAGGCACTTTTCCCTGAAGCAAAGGAAAGTCTCAGCATTGTTCATATGCTCAGCAGGGGCTTTGCATTCATGGGAAGGGCATGAGTGTGAAAATGGCTGTTTCTACTTTTGATCCTACAGCCATGACTTGATTCCCCAGCCTTCATTCACACAGTATCCAGGCAAATGAATTCTACCTACACCTAAATTTAATACATTTTGTGTTACGTGTAAGGAAAGTGGGGAGGCCACTTTTCATTAGCAAGATCTGTCAAGGAGAAAAGCTGGCTGGAGAGTCATAGATTTCAAATGTCAGATCAATGACAGGATATTTACAGTTGATTTCACCTCGCACATATTTTGATAAATACAACTGGGGTCTCTGCTGCCCAGCAGCTCCATTTGATACACAGTTCTTTCCATGATACTGTGTCCCTTAAAGTTCAGTCGTGTTACAGACTACACAGCTACCGGAATTAAGAGAACCAAGGTGTATAATAATATCTGCTTTTATTCTCCTACTACGTTAACTTCCTAGCTGGTGTGCTCCTCAGATTGCATGTTATGCAAAAGTAACAATGATCGAAGCTTTGCTATGTTATGGAGATGTATAACCAGTTAGGTGGAATTCTTGATCCCAGGTACAGTTCTGGGTCATTAACTAACTTCAGATGATCAGTCTACAGGGAATACCCTGCATTAAGATGGTTGTTATTCTTTTAGTTGAAAATATTAAAAAAAATAAGTATAGTGAGCCAGATTCTCTGCTGGCATAAGGATCTTGAAATTATATTGATAAAAATAATTAAAACACTGCAATTGTAGAGTACAACACATGTAGGTATATGCAGCACATGTGGTGGTACAAAAGTCACCAATGCTCATCTGGGATCATTTGCAGAATTTATTAATGTCAAACTCCAAGTTCATCCTGGTAAAACCTTCATGTCAGAAGTTCATCCTAATAAAACTTTTATCAGACTCCACACCATTAAGCATTCATTATATCTTTGTTCTCTACAAAATAAATATGTGCATATATGTAGATAGTTAATAAATAAATTGCCAGTAGATGGCACTCAAAAATAAGCAGCATTGTTCAAAAGCTTCCCAGGAACAATTTAAATTGTTGTCAGAATCTGAAAATGGCTTCCTGAGTGTAGATCTCTACCTGGAACTCTTAGCATGGTTTCAGGAAATTGTATGGTGGTCTGGTTTCACCTGGTATATCTATGAGCAGATCTTTTCAGGAGAATAACTGCCTTGTCTATTCTCCTGGGAAAATTATTCCATGACTTCCATCATTCTTGTCAGTTTACACATTGTTATTGCTTTTAATATTGACACTAGCTCTAAAATCCCTTACTGTCTAGAAGCAGGAGTTAAGCTCTGAAATAGCTCTGTATTTCATGGTTGAAAGTTTCTGGAAATTTTGTACATTCACCTAAAAGTTTAGAGCATTTGTTGCAATCTTGTTTTTATTTTCTTATCACCAGGAAGATGATTCTATTTCTTCCTCATCAAAACCAAAAGGAAGCTTACTTTTTCACTTAGATTCTTAAAAAAATAAAACCAACATAGTCAGAGATCTCATTTTCTGACAAGGACTAAAATAGCCAGTTTCTTAAGAAGAATGTATAGATAAGGAACTATGGAGAACATCTCAAGGAAGTGTGTGGTAGTTCCCAGCACAAAGCCTACAACTTCATATTGGAATTTATGCTCAAATATGTCACAATCTGGTTCTGAAAGTTTGATAATATAGTATGTTGTAAAACAGACAAAATAGCTCTCCATGAAGAGGCAGGGCAACTAGGAGTGACTCAGATGAAGATACTGTAGTAGAATTAAGAGCTGGTAATAATCTGTTCTGGTCATTTTCCTAAATTTATGATCATGATAATGTTTGTTACCTGTTATCATCTGCAGAAGACTGCATTGTCGCTATATTAGGTGGTGATGTTTCAGTAACATCAGATATAATAGGCCCTCCAGCAATAGTGGGACTGTTTAAACAAGAGACAGGTTCTGTAGATGGCTGAAAAAAATTATGCAAAATTATCATTTTGAGACACCAAAGGAAATAAGTAGCAAGTTCATTATGTCAGCTATGCAGGGTCCCAGGATGAGACAGAGATGGATTAGCACAGGAATTTTGGCTGATTTTCACCCAACTCCTTGAACCTACAAGAAGCCCAACAGATAGGGAGAAAATGATGCACTCTTGTTTTCTTCAACTTCCATTGAGGTGACACAGCTACATCATTCCTAATTGGGCTGTAGCAAATAGGCAAAAGCTACTCATTATTGCCAAGCACAGTCTGGTTAAGTTCAGTGGAACTTCATTTGGAAGGAAAAAAACTGCTGTTGAGAGTAAGAACTTATGTGATATGTTAGGCAAACCTTGTTTATGATGCTCTTGTGAGGAGTTTAGTTGAAGTCAGCAAAGCAACTAGTGAGACTCCTCACATGAGGAAAATGGACTGGGCCATACCTAAAATACAGCACAATAAATATGTGAAATCTTTCAGCTATCAACCCTGAAATTCAGCTGTGCAAATAACTATTTCAATTGAAAAAACAACAACAGGGGGATTGAGTTCCATCAAAATCCCTTCACTTCCCCTTGATGGAAAGATCCATGAGCGTTTAGTAGAATCATAGAAAATGTAGAGCTTGAAGGGACCTCAGGAGGTCATCTAGCCCAACCCACTGCTCAAGGTAGGATCGTTCCTATATAAATCATACCATACAGGTCTTGGTCTAACCTATTCTTAAAATTAGACTAACAACCCTGTTGTACAACTACCAGCCCATTTTGGGTAAGGTCTCCCTACTTAGAGAGTCTGGGGGTGGGATTCAGGGTCTTATCTTCCTAAGTTATTAGGTGCTTCTGAAAATCCCATTGCCAAACTCTAAGCCTGGGAGGACTCTAACTAACCACTGAGGTGTAGCCTAAACTGTAGTCTCTCTAGGCCACTTATAACCACAGGCTTGGCTAGGATGACACTGGACAGTGCCCCAGTTGTCTTTCTGTGAGCTAGCTACAACTAGGAAGCAGTGGCCAGAGTTGGGTCAGTCACCTTAGCAACGAAACATCAAGCTTAAACTATAGCAGTAAACCATGGACCACCGCAGTGAAATAGTTAGACAGGTGCTGTTTCATTACAGTATGGTATATGTGTGAATAAACACATGAATACAACTTAGTCTAGCATCTCTCTCTCTCTCTCTCTCTCTCTCTCTCAACTTTCAACTCTCTCTCTCAAATTTCAACATTTCCCAAAATGCAAGGAAGATCCATGAAGGAAAGAAGGAATGAAAAGAAGATATATGTTGGGAACTGAACCTACCGACTGAATGAAATAGGAGTCATGAAGAAGATCCACAGACAGGTGCCGACTAAACTTGGACACCTGGGGAGCTGAGCTGCCATCATCTAGTATCAGAGGTCTGCGGAAAAAGGGAAGAAAGATTTTAGCTCAAAGGCATGCCTGCAAAAGACTTTATTGGAATGGGAAATCTTCCATTGCACTGTTTTACAGAAGATGACTGCTGTATTTTACATAATTCTGGAGGGTACAATAATGGGGGAGGGGGTAATACCACTTATCCTCCCCAGTCTTGATTAGGCTTGCCTTCCATCTGATGCCCTGATGCTTGATGACATCAAGAAATTACTTAATGAGTTTGTAGGAAGCATTAATGCTGTTAAAATAGATCATCATGTAATCCAGGTATTGTTAACTTCAGAGCATTTGTGGCATCTCAGCATACAAAGCTTTCTGCATGTGTGTGTCCCACATCTAACTGGAAAAAAAGGGCTGCCCTATGGCAAAAGGTCACCAGGGAAGGGAGGGAGGAAGGGCAGGGAGGGGGTAGAAGCCAATAGACTTCAAATTTTTAACTGATCCTAATGGTTTCCGCAACTGGGTGGGCAAGATCCTTGGCTGGTGGAACTCGATACAGTTGCACTGGAGTCAGGGGTGGCCACACTGAGTGAAACCAGATGAGAATCTAGCCCTTTATCTGGTTCTACATGAACTCACTTGTCCCCTGCCCAAAGGCTTTTTCACTGGCAAAACTGTTTCATATCTAGTACTACATAAAAAAGAAGCAATGTCCTATACTGCCGATACAAAGCAGAGCACACCCCAAGTGCGCTATATATGGATTCTTCCAGAATGGCCATGACAAGCTTTTCCGGACAAGCGCTGACAACAGCAAACAGGGCTGCGTTTTAGGCTCTGCATGTGGATGCCTGGGTTTGCCACTGAAATCAAATAAGCTGAAGGGATGAGGGACTTAACATCAAGAACTGCAAGTGGTGCTGACTGCGTGAGTACAGAAGCAGCTTTGGGAAAGGAGTTCGAGTAGGAGGTGGGCTGCCCAGAGCATGGTGGGATATTGTATAGCTGCGTAGTTAGACTGTGCACATTGTTCCATTACAAAGTGGAAAAGTAAATGGCCTGGCTCCATAAGGGGCCCACATGAATATAGTGGGGTATACTTCAACCTGTGTTATGGTATAGCAGGGGGCTTTTTTTAGCCAAGGCCAAAGTAAAAGACTAGACCAGGGGTTAGCAACCTACAGCCTGCCGGCCGACCCAACCTGTAGAACCTTTGGATCCAGTTTCTGGACATGGGGCTTTGGCTCTAGGCGCTGCCCCAGTGCCATCACGGAGAAAAGCAGTGACAACAGCAGGGTCCTAAAGCCTACCCACCGGCTGCCTCTCACTCAGGTCGGGTCATTCTAACCCACAGGCAGAAAATGTTGCCTATCCCAGATCTAGAGCATGAATGTCTTCTTAGTTTCATCTCCATGGATCATTCCCCACCATACCCACAGGTGGCTCACTCACTTAAGGGCTCATTCATTGTTCAGTGGCTTGAATGGAAGCAAAACATACTCAGGAAAGGAGTGTTCAGCAGTATTCAGGATTAGTTCCTTGAATGCTTGATGGAGAGGGCCTACTAATTGCCCACAGCCACCCCAGCCTGGTCATCCTGCAGTCAGGGCAGACTTCTGTGGTCCTTCCTGAAGCCAGTGTGAAGGAATTAGCTCTTTCCTGTCAGCATTTTGATAGGATCTATACATGAAGCTAAAGTCCTGGCACCACTACCATGAACTGAATTCAATTTTACCACATTTATCCCTGTCCCACATCACTTCTTACAGTGTTATGAAAGGCTGGGGTGAGTGGATGGTTTTATATAGTTCAAGTTGAGGATAGTGCCTAGGTACAGTTCTCAGCTCTGCTACCAATATCCTTTGTGGCCCAGGGCAACTAACTTAATTTCTTTGGCCCTTAGTTCCCCACCTGCAAAATAGGGATTAGGTAATGAATAGGTTCATTAGAGGCAGGTCCTGTCAGACCAACTTGATGGCCTTCTATGACCAGGTCACAAAATCCTTAGACGCAGGTGTTGCGGTAGACGTAGTCTTTCTGGACTTTAGGAAGGCCTTCGACACTGTCTCTCACCCCATTCTCATTAAAAAATTAGGAGATTGTGGTGTCGATGCCTACACAGTCAGATGGGTCGCCAATTGGCTGGAGGGCCGCACCCAGAGAGTGGTGGTGGACGGATCATTTTCGTCCTGGAGAGATGTGGGCAGTGGGGTCCCCCAGGGCTCAGTCCTCGGGCCCTCACTGTTCAACATCTTCATCAGTGTCTTGGACAAGGGGGTGAAAAGCACCTTGTTCAAATTCGCGGATAGCACTAAGATGTGGGGAGAAGTGGGCACGCTAGAAGGGAGGGACAGGCTACAACTAGATCTGGACAGGTTACGGGGTGGACGGGTGAGAATAAGATGGGATTCAATACGACAAGTACAGGGTACTGCACCTAGGGAGAAAGAACCAGCAGTATACCTACAGGCTGGGGAACTCCCTTCTCATCAGCACAGAGGCAGAAAAGGATCTTGGAGTCATTATAGATTCCAAGATGAACAAGGGCCGCAAATGTGGGGACGCAGTCAGGAAGGCTAACCGCACCTTGTCATGCACCCGCAGATGCATCACGAGCAGGTCCAAGGAGGTGATCCTCCCCCTCTATGTGACATTGGTCAGGCCACAGTTGGAGTACTACATCCAGTTCTGGGCGCCGCACTTCAGGAGGGATGTGGACAACATCGAGAGGGTCCAGAGGAGGGCCACTCGCATGATCAGGGGGCAGCAGGGCAGGCCCTGTGAGGAGAGGCTACGAGACCTGAACCGGTTCAGTCTCCTCAAGAGAAGGCTGAGAGGGGATCTGGTGGCAGTCTATAAACTGACCAAGAGAGACCAGCAGGCAATGGGAAAGTCCCTGTTCCCCCGAGCACTACTGGGAGTAACAAGGAACAACGGCCATAAGTTGACAGAGAGTAGATTCAGGCTAGATGTCAGGAGGCACTACTTCACAGTCAGGGCAGCTAGGATCTGGAACCAACTTCACACATCGGGTGAAATTCACCACTGGCACATCGCCCACTTAAGAGCACAAAATAAGGCATACATTTGGTACTCTGTACATGGAACAAAGCTTTGTAGCTAGCCAACACATGCTTATTCCTAAGTGTAAATACACGTAGGTGAGCACTGCAAGAGCTGCTTTCCATCAATGCCTCCCATGTGACAATAAATTAACATAGACATTGTAGAAGTAGAAAACACACCTGTAAGTTAAATGTAACCTGAAATATTTTACATGCATTCTAGTTAAAGACCGTATTTTAAAGAATAGGCTATTTTAGTTGGCTGGGGCCCCATTCTGCTCCCACTGGTGCCAATGTCAAAACCCTCATCTGTTTTGCCAGGATCAGGCCCTCAGGCTCACTCTGTATTATGAAAATGAAGGTCAGCAAGCTGACATAGTGGTTCTCTAAAGGCCACTGAATGAGGACTGTCAGCAGGTCTGACTCAGCAGCTCAACCCCATTCAATTGTCATCACTATGGTGTCCAAGTCAGGTGACCTCCACCCCACACTGAGCTGAGTTTGTACTTTTAATGAAGTGTGAGCATTATCCATCTGTGTGCATGTGTGTGCGCCATGCAAGGGTACTTACAATTTTCTCTTTATTCCCGCACTGCTGGGGTTTGATTGGAGCTGGCCAAACAGAAACTGAATCAGCTGTCAGTGGAAATCAAGTCAGGTGTTAATCAGCACAATGATTCAGCATTCCATCCTCCACAGCATCCTTCTTATTATGCACGTTGCCTCATTTTGCACAAACCCCAAAGAACTGGAGCCTGCTCTTTAGAACAAGGCATGAAATATTTGAGACAGACTGGTGAAGAGGACTTTGTTTCAACAGGTGCTAAAGCAAGACAGGAACTTATTACAGGCCTGGTTTTCAGCAAGTTTTCATGTGCATAGAATTGAGCATTGCCTTTTTACACACACTACTAGCCATACACACATAGGCCTAGCTCTCTCATTATGTGCACACATGAGTCCCCATCTAGCACCATCACCTGTGGTAGCATGTGAGCAAAGGAAGCACATAATTTCATATGTGCAGTTGCTGATGGCTGAGAATCAGCCTCTCCCTCAAGCCATGGGCTATTTGAAAATAAAAAGGCAGTCCCTAAAGACAGGGTCTGAATCAGGGATCTCAGTCATTTCTGATGGATTTTTCAATCCTACTGAGCTCAACCTTTCTGAATCAGACATGATCCATGATGCAAGAATGCTTTTACAGTGAGAAATCCTTCATGGCATAGCACCATCTTGCTAGATGACTCAAGCCAAATATCACTATAACTTGCATCCATCTATTATAGGATAAATAACAGTAGCATCAATGCAACTACTGTGTATGCAGAGCTACTGCTGTAACATTATGTTAAAAACAGAGCACAACTCTTCTTTGCCGGACAGGAAATCACTGTGAGCTTAGTCATGCCATCTGCACTTAGCTCCATAATGGAGGCACTGGGAAATTTTGCCTTCCCAGATAAGAACAATATATCTTAGAAGGAGGATTGTGATCATGTCTAGTCTGACCTCCTGCATAACCCACACCATAACATTTCATCCAAAAATTCCTCAACCAGCCTGATATTTTGGGGGCAGAGCTCTTCATGAAGCTGCCACAAAGGCAATGGAGGACAGTCACCGTTACAGGATATGTGGTGTGCTCCTCTGGGCAACTGGCCAGTGCTGCTGTTCAGAAATTTCAACTGTGCCAGGAGTTGGGTGGCCTTTTGCCCCTTGATGCCCCTGCAGTAGGGCACACTGTAGGCCTGTCTTGTTTGACCTTGTGAAAAGTGACCTTCTGTTTCTCTGTCTGAAGTACAAAACTCATTGTGAATCACCAGACAGGTGCAGATGCAGTTTTTGATGGAGAACCAGGAGAAAGACAGGCATACTTCAACTGCTGTTAAAAACCACAAAAATGTATCTGTTCAAATCAAGCAACATTGCTGAAGTATTTGAGGTACTCCTGATATTTAGTATTGGTTCCTGTGAGGGCAGAATCAAGGATCTTAGGTTTAGGGTAGCACTGTGCAATATCTACTCTCACTGACAAGTGCTTTTACACCCACTGACCTCGATATCATTAGAAAATGCCATTGGAATGAGGAAGATTAGCATCCTCTAGCCCTCAAGTGCAGCATATGGATAGGTTTTATAAATACCTTCTGGTGACTTAAACAACAATCTGGAGAGCAATCTGAGGAACCCTAACATTTTCAGTGAACACTTGCTTCCTGACCTATTCATGTTTCTAACTACTGCTGTACAAAATGGACAGTAAATAAAATGCACAATCTCCTTTCCACTGAAATTAGTAAGCCCTCGCCATTGATTTCACGTGAAAGAAGCTCAGGCTGAAAGCATTTGTGACTCCAATACATGGTTTCTTAAAGTCACTGTGACCACTAAGAAGTCATGCGAACTCATTTTCTTGAGGATATTACTCTTCTTTATGCCTGGCCTGAGTATGAACTTCCTATTGCTATCCTGAAGCTGCAGAGCCGTAAAACTGGATAATGTCAAATGGGATAATTAGCCTCATTTTGACATGCCCACAGTTCCTGTTAGCATTTATGACAGCCATATGCAATGCAATTAGGAAGAGGAGGATAACACAGAGAAAGAGAAATATTATGGAAGGTCTGGAAGGAGGGGGAAAAGTTACTTCTCTAGACCTATTGGCTGCTCTGCATGACAGTGCAATAGAGCTCTGAACTTATCTGAACTGGTTTGATTGCTACCTTGTTGATCACTTTCTGTTGCTGTGAATGATTCTGCCTGAGGGATACAGCTTCCCGCCACAGGACTTCATTCTGTCTGAAAGTGAAACAGAAACACTCCCTGAGCACACAAACACCCATTACTTTTTTTTTCCTTCAAGTTACAGAGGAAAACTTAAAAATACAAACCTTAAAGGGCTCAAACAGTGAAAAAGCTTTCTTTTGGTCAAAACAAGCAACTATTTGAAATGTGAATGAATGTGAACATCAGTCCTGATGCTCCTCTTCCACTAGAATAGATCCATTGACATCACCAGAATTACTCCTAATTTACAATAGTAATAAGGGCATGTTCACTCAACAAATTTTTGCTGACAAAACTACATTGGTTACGAGCATGAAAAAGAGAGATCTTTTGCTGGTATAGTTTACGTCAGTGGTTCTCAACCCTGTTAGACTCAAGGCAGCCCTTGGAAAATTCTTAGAAAGCCTTACAGGAAGGCCAAAGTATACTTGTTGGAATAAGAATCACAAAGGAACTGAGCTGCGCATCCAAAATTACGGAGTCCATCAAATCTTTAAGCCTTTGGAAAATTCCAGATCTTGCCTTTCACTTATTTGACTATGCAAAAGTAAGAAACCAATCTTGTGTTGTGAAGAACTCAGAAAGACTGCAACAGATCAGAATGTTTTTGATGCTATGGAATTCCTATTTGAATTTATGGTTTATCATGTGAATAACATAAGATCGTTTGGTTTATATTGTGAATCATGCCACTTTGGTCAAGAATCACTGGCTTAACCATACTGCAAAAAGGTCCTAAAAAGTTATGATCCAGGTGCATCCAGGATCTGAGCATGGCCCTGAGATAATTATCACTGGACAGCATAGATCTGTTCTAAAACCAAAAACCTACACTTCATTGGCCATGGCAGGAATGTCAATGTGTTTGCAAGGTGTGAAGCTCATTTTTTTAAGTACCGCCAAGGTTTACAAGGAAACCAATGTTATGAAGGAACCATGTGAATAGGATTAACTCACTGCTTCATATCCTGCACTTGACATTCCATGTTCTCCTGTTGACTTCTCAGGATCTGGACCTCATACAACAATCTGCTGAGATCCTCTTGGCGCATCTTAGTTTCCTCACTTTTTACAACTGAGACCTGAGAAGAAAACATAAGACAGACATCAACAACATATGCACAGAGAGGTAAAAACTTTGCAAGGGCTTCTAAGCAGGACTCACATGTACAGCTAGGTTATTCAGTTGTAATACATTAAAACAGGGGACACGTTTTTAGGAGTATGAAGTGGCCTGTGGAACTGTGCTTAGGCAAATTGAATGAAAAGATCAGAGTGAAGACCATGAAAAATAAGAAGAGAAGAATCTAAGAGGAGTGGAGGAAATCCCATCAGTGGGCATGTTTTAAATACAATTTGACAGAAAGGATCAGTGCAGCACTAGCCCTGTGAAAATTAACTAGATGATTTTAAAAAACCTTCTATTTCTCTAAGATTAAACATTATATTAAATGAGGTCTGCTAATGGCACAACCCTTGGAAGAGACTCCTTTCTACCACCTTGTGAGGACAATAAGCCATCCGATGCACAACAACCCCCTACAAGAGGAGGTGCAGCTGAAACTCAGGTCCTACCTTCCTTTTGATGTGTTCCAAGAGGTGTTCATGACCTTGTAGGAAATAAAGGTGCTGGAACTCCGTGTCATCACGTTCAGGCTTCACAAGGCCACCCTGCTCAATATTTACCACTTTCCTGAAGCCATCTAAATATAAACAGAACTAGTGAAAAACAGATAGATAGGACCAAACAGGAAAGAAAAAGGATCCCAATGTGTAAATTAGTGCTCTGACCCCTATGTGTCCGCCCACACACACACACACACACTTACCCACTGATTCTTAAATGCAGTTGACATCCCTTCACTTCTGCCCGAGGGCTATCTTAGATTTTTGTCAATATGCTGTGAAGAGCAAACCCTACATTGGTTATATAACATCCCAGTAGTTCCTGTCAAGCCTAATTTGTCTTGGCAAACATGTCTCCCAGGATGGAGACAGTTTATGGCAGTGAAATCTCTACAGCCAGTTTAATCTGATAATGGAGGCCCTTATCCACTACAAATTTGCCCATGATCACTCATCTGTTCTACGTGGGTTAGTGAACTGCTATCAGAGAGGAACAGCTTTGAAGCAGGGCTGACCTAGCCTGGCTATGAACTGCTGGACTTGAAGTGAAAGGCCCATGATCAGTTGCCCATTTTTACTTTCTAGATCTTTTAAGAAAAATTAAAATGTAATCAAAGACAACATTAATCTCCAGACAGGCAATCAAACCCATGTGCTAAGCAGTACCATTCCCCAATGTGAGTTCTCCAAGCAGGTCTTAAATACAGCATAGGCAGTGTGCTGGCCTTCTGCACAGGGTGAATGTTATCCTTTAATAACATTCATTTGGGATATATTGTTATCCAAGAGATACTTTAGTGGAACAGATTATGTGTTCTGTAATCATTCAAGGCTTTTTTAGGAATGAGTCATGTGAAATGTTCAGTTGCTGTGGGTTTTTCAATGCCAACATCAATACCTCCCCAATAATTAAGAAAGGATAGTATGTTATTTTAATTGATGTTAATAAGAAATGCTAAATCAACACTAAAATCTAGTTTTCTAAGCCCAGGAGCAATTTAATATTATCAAAGCCTTAAAAAAACCAGTTCTTATAAAATATCCCTGCTGATTTCTACTCTAAAAAGAGTTTGGGAGAGATTTTCAAAGGCACAAATCAGTATTACATGCCATTGACTTTCAGTGAGTGTTGGGCCTCTGGGCCTCTAAATGGCCTCTGGGCCTTCTAAAAGCTGTCCTTTGGAGACTTCTCTGCACTTACCTGTACAACTAGATGGGTTTTTAAAACTGGATCTGAGATCCTTTGAGAGTGGCTTAACATACAAACTATGCCATTACATACTTACAATTCACAAATAAAGGTGTACTGAGCAACTGGTCAATGGTCAATAAAAACTGATTTCTCAACAGAGATGACTTTCTAAGAAAAAGTGATGGAAAATGGTCCTCAGTAGTGCCATGTCCCAAGCACAGGTGACAGCTGTTCCTTAAGATGCATTAATGGTAGAGGATCTGTCTCATACAAGTTTCAGTAAATTTCCATACAGAAAAATTTCCATATAGCAAGATTCATAAAAGTAATGACTACATTTATGTAATCAGATTTACTAAGCATAAGCAGAAGACTATGGAATGAAACTTCCTTAGCTTATAATATATTATTTTAAATAACCTTTATGCATTCCTGTAAATATAGTACTAGGAAATGTCCTCTTTGTCTTCTGAAAACAAGCCTCTCATGATCTATGCATTCCCCAGAACCTTTCAACCAGACTGCAGCCTTCTATTCTAATTGCTTATCCATATGGCACAAACTGTTCTGTTTACCAGGGAAGCTCTTCATTTTAGACACACAACTTCATTTTAGAAGCATACATCTGGCATCATCTTACTCGTTGAATTAGAAACTTATAGTATTATAATCACTATACTTATAGAATTGTAAATTATTTGCTGTATAAATGCCAATTGCTACCATGAAATGTAAGGCAAAAATATCAATGCAAAAGCAATCAACTTCGTTTATTATTTGTATATCACATGTTTTGAAGCCCATGTTTGGGATTTGGCTTTTATAGCTGAACTTATTTATTTTTATGTTTATAATTTTATTCCCGTGGTTCCCACCAGACAAGTGATGTCTGCATGGCAGCACACTCTAGGGCAGTGGCTTTCAACTTTCTTAGGCTCAAAACGCCCTTTGTTAGACTCAAGGCACTACTCAGAAAATGCCAGCTTGGTTTTTACTCATTTTTTGACTATGGAAAAATAATAGAACAATTCTTCTGTTGCAAAATCTCAGAAAGTCCACAGCAGGTCAAAACGTTTTTAACATTATGGATTCCTATTTGAAATCTCTGGGTTTATCTTGTGAACCATGTGTGTATACCCAACAGTGCTAACACTACAGCACCCTGGCTGTGAATCACTGCTCTTTGAGCTAGAATTCTACTTACACATGTTCAGCTGTCGGACAAAACTGGCCATATTGTTGTGTTTGAAATATTTAGGCAGCACCTCTTTGGCAAACCGTCCTTGTTCAAAAACATGGAAGCTGGTTCCATTCTATAGAGAAAAGAAAAGAAAATGATAGCGTGAAGTAATTCAGGAATCTCCACAAATGTCTTGAAGCCAAATTAATTTTGTCTTTGGGCCATAGCTGCCAAACCATAAAAACATCATCAGATGTAATGATGGCAATACCTAGATGGGTAGGCAGAACATGAGACTTCCTCTTTGAGGCTAAGGTTTCCTTGGCTATTGTGTCCTTATTTCTTTTCCATACAGCCATGAGTACTGCAGGGCAATGCAAGAACTATGTGCATGTACAAACCAGAGGAGAAATCAGAGCATTCTAAAGAATAACATTCTACCTGTTCCTCAACAGGACTGATGGCTCTTCTTGGGGACTGTGAACCTAACACAGGTCAAAAGGAAATCCAGAAGTGCTACAACAATGGGAGAGAGATATGTAGGCAAAGATGCATGTGTGGGTAAACAAGGACCCAAGGCTTTTAGCCACAGGAGCCAAATAACCTGCAAGCAGTTCTAGCACTGGATAAGGAAATGGGACAGGGAACAAGGACCTCCAATAAACTGAATTGCCTATCATCTGGTAGGCATGCTGCTCACCCAGTGCCACTCGCTTGCACATTCTCAATGAATTTCATAATATTTGGTGCTTTCTTAAAACCTCAGGCCTTGGAGTCACATGACTATGGAGATCAAGATTTTATTTCTAAAAACTAGTACCAGTAATTTCCTAGCTTCTCATGGTTGTGACAAAGTGCTTGAAAATGTCACTTGGGTGTCAGCTAAAGGTTCACAAACTAGAAGACAAAATAAAGGACCTGAGAGAGCTATACACATGCTTTTTAAAACATTATGACTCGGAGGGGCTTGGCTCATGATTTCTGAATGCTAGGGGTTGCCAGTACTCCATGACCTGGCCCAAGGGCATCTCCAGGATCCCAGTATTTCCAGACCTGTGGAAAGGAAGCCTACAGTAGTACATATTATAGTGAAGTGTTGCTGTAACTCCACCGACCCAGGACCTATACTGCATACTTTTGAACATCAGTTCCTAGCACCTGCCTGTTACCTATTTACACAACACCTACATAACTACCAAAAGCTACTCAAGCCTGTTAAGGGGTAGGATCTGTGATTCTTCCCGCCGACTGCTAAACTTGGGGAATGTAACATAGGGTGGAAACCAACATTGTCTGACGTCTCATTTGTGCTGCCATGATATTTTTTTAGGGCAGTACAAATAATGAGCAAATAGACATCATTACCCTTTGTTATGCTACACGGAAGGAAAATCAGTGGCACAACAAAAGGTGGCAATATAGACTCTGCTGCTTTATTGTGATGGACATCTATTACCTCTGTGGCATTTTCCTCACTCAGTTAAATTCACGCCCCAGGTCTGGCTGAATGAAGAATGCCAGGAAATCACATTGCTCTTTGTCCTCCACCATCAAGGGTGGTGCAAGGGGTGACATGTATTTCACCCAGTGATCCAGATCACTGGATCTGGATTACTGTGTGATCAAAAAACGTGTACCATGACACGTTTCAGCACAGTTGACTTGTTTAATTCAGCTACATCTACTTCTAGGCAGTGTCAGAAAGAAAGGCTGTGTGAGTGGGTCATTCCTCAGGTGAGTGATGGTTTTAGGAAGACTGAATGAGCCATGTGGCCCAAAACAGTCTTCAACTGGTGGCTCCAAGTATATTTATGCTGCCATAATTGCACTAATTGCTTAATTGCTTTGATTACGATGGTACCATCTCTGCTGCAGTCCTGAAGTCACCACTGAGAAACAAGCTTCACCCATCTGCTCTTGCACCACAGGCATCGCAGGCTGGAAAAATGCTCTGTGATAACCGTTAGAGCAGTGCTGAGCACAACCACCATGTCTCTGATTGAGATCCCTAGGGTGTGCCCAGGCACGCGCCAAAAGCAACCACTCAGCATCTTTCCAGCATGTGGAGCAGGAGCATGTGGGCAGGGCCTGCTTTTCAGCACTGATCTCAGGATGGCCACAGAAACGATAGTGACTTTTTTTTTTGGTAAAAACATTTTTCTCTCTCTATAAATGGTTACATATATCTAACCGATCCTGTTACAGAAAAAAGCCCTGCTCCCGCGCACCTGTACAAAGGCCCGCTGGCCACCTGTACCCGTTACAGTGTCCACAAACCGTGTGCAAAACACAAAATACACCCAGTCCTTTCTGGTCTCTCTGACCAGCCCTCCCTTCATGTCTACTCGTGCCCCGTTTCTGGCGTCAGGTACTCAGCTCAACTGGTCTCTTTGTCATTGTCACTCTAGCTTCCGCTGGAGGACTCGCTGCTGCTGCTGTTGTCACTGTCCTCCGTCCCACTTGTCTGGTCCTCTTCTCCGCTGCCGTCGCTCTCCTCTTTCCTTGACGGGGGTTGTATGGTCCTGTGCCACGTGTCCCTGTGCCAGATGGTGTTCGCTGCATCTTCTCCATCCTCTGCTACTGAATTCTGATGGTAGGTCTGGAGTTTGCTCAGTGCCATCTTCACGCAGCCCACTACCTCTACGTCTGTTTGTCTGTAGAGGAGCAGGTTCCTGGCCTTCCACACGGCGCTCCTGACACAGGATGCAAACTGGTCAAATCGGAGCAAGGAGCTCCCCTGGTTTTTGGTGAGGTGCCGGTCACCACTTCACAAAGCTGCTCTACCCTCTTCCTTACCTCCTTGGCGCAGGTGCAGAGCCACAGGAGGTATTCTATTGTCTCAGTGGCCCTGTGGCAGTTGGGCCATGGGCAGCTGGGTCTCCCCAACTGCCCCTCTCTGTGTCTCTGGGCCCCCACCAGGAGAGCTTGGTGAGCTATAAGCCAATTTAGGTCCCTGTGATCTTTGTGCAGTTCCTTGCGGTGGATGCGCTCTCACATGGCTTGACATGTGCCTCCCGGGAGCAGGTCCATGGGTGACATGGTGTCTCTTTTCCTCACCGTCTCTTGGATTTTCTTGTGGCCTTCCATGGCCACCGAGCCCGCGTTCTGCAGGCTGTACAATTGTGACGTATACTTTGTATCTGCTATCACTGTAGCTGCTGCACATGGACTGCAAACCTGCCCGAGAAGCTGGTGGTCATCCCACACTGACCACTGTCCTGCCATGGCTACACTGCTAGTAGTACCTGAGCCAATCATTTTAAAGCCAGCTCTTTTGTACCTACATGAGCTGTAGTCACAGAAGTGCATGCACCCTTGGATAAAACCAAAGAGCTGGTATGTGACAGAGAAAGCGGAACAAAATCTCCCTTCTGTTGTTTGAGAGAACACAAATAACTTCTGGCACTGAGTAATGTTGGTGGAAGAGTGGAGTTCATGTCATGATAACAATTATAGTTAACGTGGAAAGCTAACAAGCCCTAAACTGCTGTGATAAGCCTACCCCCTTCCTGTGCACTAAGCTTTCTGGCCCAGTCTGAAAGAAGCTAGCACCCCATTAATCATCAATGGGATTAATTCAAAACAGTAATACAGGGCACCTCCTTGCAGAGCCTGAAGTTGGGCTGCTCTTCAAGTCACTGGTGGCAGCCACAGTGACAGGGGCAGATTCTCATGGTGCAAACTGTTGTAGCTTCATTAAAGTCAACAGAATAATGATGATCTCACTGACACCTGCAAAGGATCTGCTTCTTGCTGTCCATGGGCATCTAGTCTGTTTGAACTGCTTCCTGTTGTCTGTCAATACCTGTCACCCTTTCTCATCAGAGCCCCTTGTTTGAGGATACTGGAAAGATTCTGTAAAGGTTTTTAGAGTAAATAGATATTGAACAAGGTTCTTTTCTTCCCACTTGAGTGGAAAAGATAGGAGTCCTTTCTTGTGGTGAAGTTATTGGCAGGTTCCGTTAACCCCTCCTTCCCTGCATGGGGGGAAATTTTCAATGTATCCATTTTGTTTGTTTGTCTACCTAGCACATATTCCCACCTCTTGCTCAGCACTACATTTTTATTTGTCTGATCACTTATTAACAGAATCATTGCAAGTATGAGCGTCACATGACATTGGGGAGCTGTGAGAAAGATTGCTACAGGGTATGCAAGTCTACTACAGAAATATTACACTGACTGATGAACTATAAACACCATCACTCTCTGCTGAAGGGACAGTGCTAATTTGCTGCAGGAATAGCTTTCCACAACTGTTGCTTAATGAGCCATGCAAATTCTAATTGGCATGGTTTACCATCCAGGGATTCGCGATTTGCATTTCAATAGGGCACAAAGGTCAGTGGGTGATGTTGGCTATGCAGCTGTTTTGTGTTGTCAAGATTGATGGCATCCAAGTAATGCAAGATGGGGATATTTCCATATCTTTGCTGGGTTTCCAAACTCCATCTGAAATGCTTTCCTAGGCCAATCTCTTAATGACTAAACATAACAAATATTGGCTGGAGATACTCAGGATACTGTTCACTAAAACCTTAGATAAATAAAATCCAGCCCTATGTTATTAAGGGGCAGAAGAACTTGAGATGCATTTATAACTAGACCAATGTACTATAGTTTAGAAGAACCAGCTATCTTAAAACTATGAAAACATGAATTAATACATATACATTTTTTCAGGAATATTTTTGGATTAATTTAAATCTTAAGCTGCAGTGATCAGAGGGTTTCTGTCAGATTCTGGAAGAAAGGAAGCTCAAGGATTTCAGGCTAGGTTTCAAAGTATGTGTGGAATATTTACCAAAAATTATGAATTAAAGAGAGATACAATGGCTTTGCCAGTAGTGTCAGGCTGCAGACCTGCATCTCTGATAGTGTTCCACTTTTGACCCATCCCACAATATTGTTTAGGAGTCTGTAAAGTAGATTTTACTTGAACCTTTACTCCAGGCAGGGCAAATATATTTTTTCCTTATTTCTTCAAGCTTCCAAGTTCTAGTTGATGCCAGAGAAACAAACACAAAAACACTGGGGAAACCAGTCCCCCACTCCCCAGCAGCATTTTTCATAAACTCCCCCTCTCCCCCCACTTTTTTTCTTTTGGTTTTTGTTTTTACAAATGAAGGAAGTCCAGATAATTCTGATCCATAGCTGAGGTCTTCAGCAGGCTTTTACGATCATTCAGTTTTGTAAACAACTGTAATATCTTTAATATTTGTAGTACAGCCCTTTTCTCTCAAGCTTTTTCCTTTGCCTCAGAATGGAAATGGAGATGGAGAACTGGTATTGCCTACTGTGATTCACTGAACCTCTTCCAATGAATCAGTGGCAGATGTATAGCTCTTTCCTTCTCTGGCACTATGCACAAACTCATTAGTCCTCACAACAACCCTCTGAAGTGGATTAAGATCTTGTGCCAGTTCTACAGGTGGGGATTCTGAGGTAGAGAAAAGTTAAGTGACTTTTCCATGGGCATACCATGCAGTCTCTCAGAGATGAACAGACTTGTGTTGGAGACACGTTGTTTCTCCAGGCTCTTTACACTACACCTGTGAGTGCCACATGGTTCACCCTCTAATACTGAAGAGACTGCAGGATTCTGTTTGGAGTCCTAACTGGCACCTCCAAACTTCACACTTTTTGTTTAGTTCTGCTTTGCTTATACTGCAAGATAATATTGAAACACCAGTGACATCCACACAAGGTAGCTGGGGAAAGCTAAAAGCTTTCTCCGCTTTGAAAGCATAGAACCCATAATCCTCCAGGGTGCTGAGTTCAGCATCACCATTCATGTTGTCACGTGGGTTATATTTTTTGCAACTGAAAATATTTTTAGTGGAAGAGATTATTATTTTGTAGAAGTTAGTTTTGGACCTTTTCCTCTTCATACAGGCACCGTATGGGCTCAGCTGGGCCCTAGAATAGCCATGTTTACGGAATATACACAAAAAGATTAGGCAAGGCAGCATACTGTTGCTCTCCCTAGTTTCTGGCACCTTCTAAAGCACAGAACATGGCACCACTGGATGACTCACAAACTATTTAAAAGGATACTACTGCATTTCTATATGCAATATATTGCTATTGAAGAATGCACGTTAGCAAACCCTACTACTCCTGTCATTTTTATTATGAGTCCCTTGCTGCTATTGCTGATCTCTACATCTGAAGGGGCTTGACTTCTTCTCCGCCCACTTTGGAGTTAACTCATAATTCAAGCTGATTCAATGCTGTATGCTCATAAACATTTGATCAAATTCTGACTAATTGTCTGATTCAATGGATTTGTCCTGCTGTTAATCCACTACTAGCAAACATGTTCACAAATGTTTTTTTGGTTCAGACAAATGTTTGGGGAATGTCTGTTCTTTGTATGAAATCAAGGACATTAGTTTATGGACAAGTGTGTTTGGCATTTCTCATCCTCATTTCCCCAACTATCCAGTTAAGAAGTATAAGAAATACCATGTGACTTGAGTCATATGCCCAGAACAACAGATTGCAAGCTCTGAAAAGGAACAATTCATTTATAATCCTGTATGCTAAACATTATTCATATATAAACATCTCAGTCAACACTTAGGAAGTGTTAGAAGGATTGGTTAACATAAGTAAAAGCTGAAATTTAGATTTACTTTATTCATGCCACTGGGCGCACTCTGTTCAAAATGCTCCTTACAGCTCTAGCCCTAGACATGATTGTGTTACTACAGATTCATCAGGTGGATGTTGAAGTAGGATACAGTGGGGGCTTAGCTACATGAGGCAGCCAGGAAAGCTAAGGCAACCAAAGAAAGATGTGGAGTCAATGTACCTTAGTTGAAGGACATTAAACCACCTCCACAGGCAATCCTGTTCCAGTTTAAAGGCACCTTAGTATGTTTGCTAAAGCAAACTCAGGCTGCTGTATGAATGAGAGGATCCACACAGAACTTTAAAAGCCCTTAATTAAGGCACAAATTGACTTCATTTCATTAATTCACCTTAACTTTTCTGAGTTCCTCTCTCTAGATATAGCTTGATTATGCTATAAAGAAGTGCGGAGAAATAAAAAATAATAGTTGACCAAATGCAAGAAAATCTAGCAAAGTACAAACATGAAAGAGAAAAGGCTTATTTTTAGAAGATATAATCCTCCTTGTTCTGGAAGTTCTCTCTGCATTTGCATTATATTCAAACCCAGTGATTCAATAAAGGGCCTGGGGAAGACCTGTAATACTAGCTCCACATGGCATTTCATAAATCAAACAACAGTGTGACTAGCATATCACCCCATGCATTCTGAATGGAAACAGCACTGAATAACACCTCCATACATGACAAAAAAGCTAGACCAAAATACATTAAGACAAAAAACAAATGTTTATTATAGATAAACTTTTTTTGGAAAGCAAGTTTACAAACACATCACATTTGGTAATTCACTGCTGAAGGTAATTAATGCTATTATTTGCAGCAACTATTAATCAAGTCAGGTGTGCAGTGAGGTTTCAAAATGATACATGAAAAGTGAGCACATTAGTCCTCTGATTGCACATAGCATTTTAAAGCCCAAAATGAAAAACAATAAAAAATCATTGCAAACCCTCTCCCCCCAGAAAACACAACAAATAAAACCCAATAAAATTAAAAAAAAAACCCAAACTAACAATACATATATGTCACTTGGATCACCGCAGGAACTGGTTCAAGTGCCTAGGGTCCCCCATTGTGACTAGTGACTTTAGGTGCTAACTGCAGACTCCTGCAAGTGAATAGTTAAAGATCTGGGGATTAGATACCCTTCAAAGTATTTCAAATGAGACAAACCCAGAAACAATGCATAACCCCACAGTTAGTGCCTTGGAGTATCTTGGTCTCTCTAGCTTACAAAAATATACCATTACATAGATCCATAAAGTCTCTCTAAAGAACTACAGTCTTTTTCAGTCAATCAACTAGTGATTGCAAGGTGCTCTGCAAATGTAAAGTGCTAGATGAACGCTGTGGAATGGTACTGTCTTTTCAATGTCTTGGGGATGTTTGTGCCCTGCTGTTCCATTAATTTAACTGACAAGCTGTATTAGCTGTACTTACAGTACTCCAGCAGATGAGATGGTTTGTTTCAGGATCTTCCACCAGTGTCCACAGTTTAGTTAGGAATGCTGGCACGTTACTGGAATATCCATCCATTGTCAGGGAATTAGCTGAATCTTGCATAGTTTTTTTCAGTCTTTTGGTTACACAAACTCCATATCTTTTAATGCACCCGTCTGTGTGTGTGTGTCAAGAGGGAGAAAGAGCCCTTGAGCTTTATCCAGATCAGGTTGAGAGCAGGCCCCCTGTGAATCACATCACCAGCATGGCTCACACTCTTAAAAACTCAGCACAAAGCCATGGCATCACCAGCCACAGAGAACAATGCACAAAATGAAAATGCACTGCAGTGGATCTCACAGGGCTGTGAATAAACATGCAGTGTCATGCAAAGAGAACACATGCTTTACACCTTCAGCTGGGAAGGTAGCAAATTATGGGAATGAACTAGGAAAACACCTGCTGGCCTACTTGCAGGATACTAGGAAGCACAGAGACCAGATTGTGAAGGCACTGAATTTAAACATCATTTCACTGCTTACTTGTCCTAAGCACAAGCAATCACAGATGGGCAAAATCAGGACTGGCTTTAAAGACTGCAAAACTGCTTTGGTCTGGATGTGGATCCCATCATACCTGCACTCAGAGAGATTCAGATAAATAGCTTTAGACCTGGAAAAAGTATGGGATGATGAAAATAGATATTCGAGAAACGTCAAGTGATTGTCATAGCCGACTCCATCCTGAGAGCTACAGAGGGTCCCATCTGTTGCCAGGACCCCTCAATATGCGAGGTCTACTGCCTGCCCGGAGCAAAGATTCAGGATGTGACGGGGATGATCCAGGCCATTACCCGCCCCCCCGATTACTCCCCCATGGTCCTAATACATGTGGGCACTAATGATACAACCAGGAGAAGCCATGATCACCTGATGATGGACTACCATGCTCTGGGGGGCATGCTGAAGGCGATAGGGACACAGGTTGTATTCTCTTCTGTCCTACCAGCGAGCGGACATGGAAGACAACATGAGACCTGCATCAGAGAGGTCAACTTGCGGCTTTGGGAATGGTCATCTCGAGGCGGGCTTTGGTTTCCTAGACAACGACCCACACATCAGAACAAGAGACATGCTCGGGTGGGATGGGCTTCACCTTTCCCCCAAAGGTAAGCGTGTGTTCTCTTCTAGGTTGGCTGATCTCCTCCAGCAGGCTTTAAACTAGGCTCATTGGGGGAAGGGGAAGATGAGGGCGGAGGAAGCCTTGGACCACTAAACCAAGCATCACCCACAAGAACAGCCCAGCCTAGACTGATGATGAGCAGAACAAATCCCCAGGTAAGCAACAGGGGCCCAGGTAGTACTGAGATTAGGGGGCCAGTGCATGCATCTTCAGGAGGCCTCAAATGCCTCTACACTAATGCTCGTAGTATGGGGAACAAGCAGGAGAAACTCACACTCCTACTAGCTAACACCAACCCAGACGTAGTGGTGCTCACCGAAATGTGGTGGGACCCAATGCACAACTGGGCAGTGAATATCAGGGGCTATAGGCTGTACAGGAGGGATAGAAAGGAAGGAGAGGTGGGGGTGTGGTGCTGTACGTCAAGGAGAAATACACATCCTCAGCGAGTGGCACTGGGTCAGAGGAGGGGCACACTGAAGTGTTCTAGGTTAGAATACAAGGAAGTCGAGGGGAAAGGGACTTAACAGTGGGGGGTCTACTACAGACCACCTAACCAAGGGGAAGAGCTAGACCAGGAATTCTTAAGGCAGCTCAAGGAGGTAGTTAGGTCAAAGGACATGGTCATCATGGGTGACCTGAACTTTCCAGACGTCTGCTGGGAAGAGCAGTCAGCCAGGTCTGATCGCTCATGTAGGCTCCTAGCCGAGATACAGGACCTCCATCTAACCCAGGAGGTGCACAGCCCCACCAGGGGAGATGCCTTGTTGGATCTGGTCCTGGCCACGGGCAACGACCTGGTGAGGGGTCTGCGGGTGCTCGACCACCTGGGTGACAGTGATCATTGCCTGCTGGAATTCACCATCCAGCGCAAGGTGGCAAAGGTCGTTCCTTAAGAAGACAATCCTCCAAGCCGAAAGGGTGGTAATCCCAACGTGAATCAAAGGGGGCAAGAGGGCGCAAAATCTCCCATGGCTCACCAAAAGCATCCGGGAACATCCCCTAGCTAAAAAGGAGGCGTATGCCCAATGGAAGGGAGGGGCCATCACCAGGGAGGACTATAGCTTGGTTGCTTGGGGCTGTAGGGGAGCGGTCAGGAAGGCCAAGGCAGAGATGGAACTGGGACTAGCTACCCGGATCAAGGACAACAAGAAGTCCTTTTTTAAATACATAGGGGGTAAAAAGAAGGTACCAGGTAATGTGGGGCCTCTGCAGGACACGCTAAGAAATCTGGTCATCGCACCAGACAGCAAAGCTAACTTATTTAACAATTTTTTGCCTCCATTTTTCTGAGCAGGGAATGGGTCACCCCCCACACCGGGACCCCATAGGTCTCAGGGGAGGCACACCCAGGCCTAGGGTCAGTGAGGACCTAGTCAGGGAACTTTTGGAGGGACTGGACATATTTAAATCAGCAGGTCCTGACGATCTCCACGCCAGAGTGCTGAGGGAATTAGTAGAGGTCATTGCAGGACCCCTGGCACTGCTTTACGAGCGATCATGGTGCTCTGGCATGGTGCCAGAGGACTGGAAAAGGGCCAATGTGGTTCCCAGTTTCAAAAAAGGGAGGAAGGAGGACCCAGGAAACTATAGGCCAGTCAGTCTTACCTTAGTCCTGGGTAAGCTTTTTGAGAGTTATCCTGGTGCATGTCCACGAGGGGCCAGCAGGGGAGGTTATGCTTAGGGGCAACCAACACGGGTTCATTAGAGGCAGGGGCTGG